TATTGACACGTGAGTTGTCCGTGTGATGGTGATAGAAATATGGGTACGAGGTGTCGTGAAAAATATAAAAGTGGGCTGAGACCCGTAATTTTTATGATTTGAAATGAGGTGTCACATAGTGACTTTTACTTGAAAATATAATTATTCAAAAGAAGTATATTCGAAAGATAATTATTCAAAAGAAGTATATTCGAAAGATATTTATCTTAAAGAATAATATGTGAAGGATTTATATTTGAAGGACTTGACTTATTGATTGTACTTGTGTTCCTTATTCGCCTGAGCAATAATTATGATGTTCTTGTTGCCTTATTGTTATATCACTGGTTGAGTTGTTGTTATCATTGCTAGTTGTTTTCCAGTACTATTGTATACTGCTATATTGCACAGGTTATTAGACTAGTGAGTGTCTTGATTGTACCTCGTCTCTACTCTACTGAGGTTAGTCTTGATACTTACTGGGTACTGACCGTGGTGTACTCATACTATACTTCCGCACATTTTTGTGCAGAGCCAGGTATTGGAGTTATTGGACTTGAGAAGAGTAAAAGCGGGATCGTAAGGATTCAAGGTAGAGTTGCTTGGTCGTCGCAGTCCCTTGGAGTCTTTTCATTTCATTGTACTATTAATTTTTAATCAAACAGTATTGTATATTCGGTCCTCGTGATCATTCCATGTATTCAGTTAGAGTTTGTGTCTCAGTACTACCTGTTTTGGGAGGTTGTACATTCATATTTGTTCCGCTGTTAGTTTTGGTTACTTATTTAATTAAAAAATGGCTCCAAAAATGTAATTGAAATCGACTTGCCTAGTCTTAGAGACTAGGTGCCATCATGACGCCTGTGGTGGGATTTTTGGGTCGTGACATAAGTCTTGCAATCTTCCACCCAACAGAATTGTCATAAATGCAAACTCTACACTGTCTAGAAGGGATCTCTTAAAAAAGGTGTATGGTGGGCAAGTTTGTGACAGACGCAACTCTAGAATTGAATGAGTTTCTGTCATGGACCAGAAACAAATGGAAGATTGGGGGTTCGATAAAGAAGATGGTGGGTTATAGCTTCTTGATTGAGTTCTCGTCCATTGAAACTGCTCAGTCCATTCTCAGCTCTAACTGGATGTGCAGAGGTAATAAGTGTCACTTGAGACAGTGGGCTCCTGATGTAGGGTGCATTGACGGGAAGCAAACCACTGAAAATACTTGGATCAGGCTAATAGGCATTCCTCTTCATCTTTGGCCAGAAGGAATTTTTTTCAAGATTGGAAAATATTTTGGTGGTTTGACTGGCTTGGACGTCAACACTACCGACAAAGTGAACTTTGATTGGGCAAGGATTCAAGTTAAAACCCACCGTATAAAATTCCATCTTTTGTGGAGATTAAGCTTGATGATGTTGTATGGTTAATTCTGTATCGTTGGTTCCAATTTGGTTTGAAAATCCAGTTGTGTTTTCGGCTAGTTTCTTCGAAGGGAGTACCTCTAAACTTCCTCCGGCATATTGCAGTAACGGGAAGAAAGAGCCTAGGAATCCGGTTGGTTTATTACCTAGTCAAAGCAATGGATCAAAAGATATTTCTGTTCAGTCTGATATACTCTCAATTCAAGCCCCACATGAACAAATGTGCGCTAATCAAATTTCAAATTACACCCACCAAAACCCTAAGTCTTATTTCCGTGCAACACGAACAAAAAGCCCACTAAGACATCCACTTCACAAAACATCACTCCATTATCAAATAACCCCATTACATCTATTACCCAATCTACTCTGGCCCCCAGGATGATGCTCAACGTCTCTGCTGGTATAATGACAAGACCGAGTCAGAAGATATGGGAAAACTTCTTAACTTTGATGAAGATAACATCTCACTTTGGATTCACAGAAATACTCCCAAGGTATGTAAAATGTTAGGTATCAAATATGTTGGGCTAGAGAAGGATATAACAGAGATGCTACAGCGAATTGAAACGAGGAAGAATGCTTATGGGAAGTCTAATTATTGCAATAAGCAATCTGGGAAGAAACAGAAATTTGTCCATGAACTTGATAGATTGGTATTCCGGGTGAATTATGATAAGGGTTTTCAGGGTGACGAGGGAAGGTTTCATCCATCTTCTTACGGATGAAGCTCAAGATTGTCTCTTGGAATGTAAGAGGTTTGAATAATGCCGACATACGAGATATGGTGAAGGCTCTTCTTTCTGAATGGAAAGCCGACATCATTTGTCTTCAAGAAACTAAGCTTGAATTTTGGTCTCACAAGCTGGTTGGTGGTCTTAAATTTGGTAGATGGGTGGATTATGCTTTTGTGGAAGCGGATTGGACAAAGGGAGGTATAATTATTCTTTGGGACAAAAGGGTTGGGAAGGGGTCTGTAATTATCCACGGTATTCATTCCATCTCCATTAAACTCTCAAATATGCACTCTGATTTTTTATGGTGCATGTCCATAGTGTATGCACCCATCAATAGGGAGGAGAGAACCAATTATGGTTGGTTCGGCTGTTAGGGGTCTTTGTGAGGGGCCTTGGGCCAATACCGCAAGGTTTTCTTGTGAGAGAAAACATTGTTCCAGGTTTGACAGAGCTCAAATTTCATCGAGGACTTGAATTTGATAAATCCCCCTTTATTTTGGGGAAAGTATACTTGGTCTATAGATAATTCTGCAGAGTGACTTTGAGGATCGACAGATTCTTGTTTTCTGCCTTGTGGGATGATCTATTCGGTGTTATCAAACAATCTACTCTTCCTTGTATTGTCTCGGATCATAGCCCATTATTTTTTGAGTGCGGGCACTGGTCTAATAATGTCTCTTACTTTAAATTTGAAAATATATGGTTGGAACATCCCGAATTTGGGGAAATGGCCAGTAACTGGTGGAGTTCTTTCAACATTGTTGGCAGCCCGGATTTAAGTTTTGCACAGAAACTTAAGTTGTTGAAACTTATGTTAAGGAATGGAACTATGTCCTCTTTTGGACATTTGAAGAATAGGAAATTGTGAATTCGTAATAGGATTCTGGTGCTGAAGAAACACCTCTTTCAGATGATCTACTTCTTTCCAAAGCAAGTTTACAAATGGAGCTTAAGGAGATTTTTAGATTGGAAGAAATCTAATAGAGGCAATAGATGCCTCTGGTTGAAGCAAGGAGACAACACTGGTTTTTTCTTCAAAATGGCTAATTCTCAAAGAAGGTTCAATCAAATTGACAAGCTGGAAGTTGGGGGTAACATTACTGATAACATGGAAATCATTTCTAATGAAATTCTTAGTTTTTATGAATCCTTATACATAGAGAATGAGTCTTGGAGACCAAAGTGGGAGTTTGTAAATGCTCCATGTATCACTAATGAGAAAAAATAATTGCTACATCATCCATTTCTAGAAGAGGAGATTCTGGAGGTAATCAAAAGTTGTGAAAGCGACAAAGCTCCGGGTCCGGATGGATTTTCCATGGGTTTTTACAAAATGTGTTTTGGGTAATTAAAGTTTATTTGTTGAATACTCTCAACCACTTTCACAATCTTGAATTTTTAAGAGAAGCTTAAATGCTTCTTATATTGCCCTCATTCCCAAGAAAACTGGTGCAAAGGAACTTAAAGATTTCAGACTTATCAGTTTGATAGGCAGTTTCTACAAGATTTTTTCAAAAACTTTGGCGGATAGACTTAAAAAAGTGCTTCCTAGTGTAGTCAGCTCCTCTCAAATGGCTTTTCTTAGCGACAAAAATATCATAGATGCAGTCTTGATTGTTAATGAATGCTTGGATTCAAGAATGAAGTTAGGAAAGCCGGGAATCTTTTGTAAGTTAGACATTTAACAAGCTTTTGATCATGTCAATTGGGTTTCTTTTTCTGCATTTATTAAGGAAGATGGGCTTCAGCGGCAAATGGATTAATTGGATCAGATTTTGTATTTCCTCAGTAAAATTCTCTATTCTCATTAATGGTAATCCTCGGGGTTTCTTTTCTTCGCAAAGAGGACTCCTAAAAGGTAATCCTCTTTCTCCTTCTCTTTATACTTGTCATGGAGGGACTTAGCAAGATGTTATACAGTGCAGTATATGCAAATTGGATCTCGGGTTTTCATGCAGACTGTAGAGGAACTGGGAATCTCAAAATCACTCACATTTTATATGAACTCGACACTCTGATCATGTGCGATGCAGCAAGTTTTGATTTTTAGAATGGTTCTAACTTCTTTTTGAAGTTGTCTCGGGGTTACACATCAACTTCACGAAAAGTTATCTTCCCAGTTAATGATATGCCATATATCGGTCAACTTGCCAACGTTTTGCAGTGCAACATTGGAACTCTTTCTACAAAGTATTTGGGCTTACCTTTGGGAGACAAATTTAAATCAGTGACAATACGGAATGAGGTGATTGAGAAGATGGAGAAGAAGTTGGCTATTTAGAAGAAACAATATCTTTCTTTGGGAGCAGAGTCACTTTAATTAACAGTGTGCTCAGCGCACTTCCTACTTACGCCATGTCTCTCTTCCCGCCTCCTTCCTCGGTTTTGAAAAGATTGGATAGATTGAGACGAAACTTTCTTTCGCAAGGAAATAAACAATCTAATACTTTATGCCTTGTGAATTGGAAATCAATCACTCGAGATAGAAGGAAAGGCGGTCTTGATATTAAGAACCTAAAACGTCACAATGAAAGCATGTTGATGAAATGGCACTGGAGATTCAACAAGGAGGTAGAGGCACTATGGAGGAGAGTGTTGATGGAAAAATTCACACTTGAGAGCCCCTGGAGTACAAAAATCTCTACAGCCTCTCATGGTACCGGAGTATGGAAAAATATCAGAGGCTATTAGAACAAATTCTAGTCAAATATAAGCTTTTGGTGATGGGAGGAAAATTAGATTTTCGGAAGATGCATGATTAGGTCACACCCCACTAAAATACCAATTCATGGACATTTTCAGCTTATCTTTTCAACAAAAGGGAGAAATTGCAGTATTCTTTTCAACACAAGGGTAGAATCATTAACCTAGAAGGAATTTTAATGATTGAGAAGTGGAAAGACTGTATTTTGCTTCGGAGGATAAACAACATAGCCTTGGAGCACAACAAAACAGACTCCATAGGTTGGAAAAGCGATCAACAGGGTCTCTTTTCAGTCAAAAATTGCTACCACATGCTAGATTCTTGCAGCGATGAGGTACTATGTCCTTGGGAAAAGGTTTGGAGAAGCAAGGCTCCTTTGAAGGTTTCTTGTTTCTCTTGGATTGTTGCTCGAGAGGCTTGTCTCACACAATCGAACCTCCAAAAGAGGGGGCTTCAACTGCGCAGTAGATGTCCATTGCGTGAAGAACATCCGGATGAAGTTTTCCACCTCCTCTTGCATTGTAGGGTCACTAGGCCGTTGTGGAATATGTTTCTGGTAATTCTGGGCATGAGTTGGACTATGCCAAAATAAATTGTTAAGCTCTTGCAAGGTTGGAGCAGAGAGGGAATTAGCAAGAAATCTCTAAGAACTTGGAATACCAACCTCAAGCCATTTGGTAGAATGTCTGGCTTGAAAGAAATAATATAATTTTTGAAGGCACAAAGAGAAACATTCACAACCTTAAACAAAGATGTATTTTTGTTAGCTTTTTGGTGCAATCTGGTAATTGAACATGATGTATATGTAACGTTAGATACAATAGAGGGTTTGTACAACTTGTAATTATGCCTGATGCACTGGCTTAGTGCATACATTTATAATATCTTTAATTACTTATCAAAAAAAATAATGCAAGAAACAATTTTTTAGGACTAGAAGTGTGAGAAACCCCATAGGAACAATAACAACAAATCCAGTAAATTCCCACAAGTGGGTCTGGAGAAGGTAAGATGTACGCATCCCTAACCCTACCCTGAAAGGGTAGAGAGGTTTTTTATTGCAAGATTGTCCAATTTTAATGGCAGCATGTAGAACCACACTAATGAATTAGCTTACCAGATTCAACAACACTAACTATTGCAAGATTGTCCAATTTGCAGTCAAAATTTTTCAGTTCAATTTCAAACTGAACTTAAACAGAAATAAAACTAACAACAAAACATGTCTAATTTAGAAACACTAAGATGCATGCATAAATTTCATATAGCAAAACGATCAAAACTTGAACCAAAAAAAAAAGATTTAAAAAAAAAATATACAAAACCACAAAGCATTAATTTGAAAACACACTAAGCTGAAACAGAGAATAAAAAGTCCAAAAAGGTCAAGAACCAAAACCAAGAATTAACTGAGAAACCCCATAGAAGAGACCAAGAATACAGTAACTTGCTTGATTATTTACATATTTAGAGAAAAGAGACCAAGTGTGCATATAGGTTTTTTAACAACGTATGTCGGTGCAGTCATAACTGCGATGAGCCCTCTATGAGGGTTGACCTTTGCCTCAGTTGGACTATGTTCACTTCAAATAATCAAGAGATGCAACTACTTAGACCTTCATGATTAATACTTTGGGAAAAGGTACAAACATGAATCTTGTAAAGAGTGACTAGTCATCCTAGTTATTGCTTTGTAACACTAGTTAGCAGCACAATCATTATGATCATGTCTCTTCCCTCTTTTATCCGTGTGATTGATTTTTATTCTAGTGGTCTCATAATGTCAAAACTCCCACATCCTTGAGCCATATAATGATGATTATTATGAGAGCACAGCAACACAAATAGAGTTCCGCAGTAAGAATACACTTTCTCTGAACACCTTCGGCGCTTAAGCAGATAAATTCAAACTCAATAATTGTCATCAACAAGATGTAATTTACATGGAACATCATTATAAACCAATTGCTAGATACAATGCTTGCCACTTGGCTTGCTTTCTCCCAACAAACCTAAAAGAGAAACTTTTCACTAAAGAACTAACCTTATACTTAGCAGGAAGAAAACGAAACTGCTGCTTCAGTGTATCAACAGTGGAATATTTAGATGCAGCTTCAATCTGAAACAAATTATAAACAAAGTTACGCAAAATACTCTTGACCATCTACAAATTATATGGTGAAAATTGGCATCGTTATATTTGTACCTTAACAGGATTTCTCAAACAAGCCCTATGAAGTTTCTTTACTTGTAGTTCAGTGTACAAATATATTAAGAATCAGACTTCCCATGCAAAAAGTTCACTCCTCGAAGGTTTCATCAAGAGTGGCATAGCAGAAACTATTAGGCATACAAATAAATTCCTTAAAGAGAAAAGCAGAACATGAGCAAATTAACTTGCCATTCACAACAACCCCACCTTCTCATTTTTCTTTCCTAGACAATTTCATGTAATAATCATATTGCTATTACGATATAGAGAATAAGTGCATCTACTGCCATAACAATGATTATTGATCATTAGTTGCATGCCAATATGAGAAAAAGTTGAAAAACAAGTAAAAAGCTCCTCCATTTTCAGGTATCTTCTTATATAAATGTCAGACCGAGCATATGATATTTGGAAAATAAAAAAGGAAAATTTTCACGAAAGCACTTTTCCTACCCCAAGTACTCAGGAAAAATACCTATCCGCCATCAGAGAAGGGAATTTCTCTTAAGAACGAAACCTAGAAAGAGAAATTATCCACACACAGAGAATAGACCATTTATGATTAAAAATGGATTCATATAAACCACGTGAAAGCTAACCTTGTTGGACATTGTAGCAGAAAATAGGTAAATCCTTCGATCATGAGGGATGTCTGCCTCATCCAATACCTGTTGCATGTACAAGTTCAAGACTCAGAATACGCATGCATGCTTATCCAACTAAAATAATCTGTTGTGAAACACATATTTATATTTTCAAGAAACCTAGACTTGGTTACGAATGGAAATCAAGATATTAAAAGATGGAATTCTAAAACAAGTCCAAATACCATTCGCATCGAATATAATGAACTGCATTTTATTTTTGGATACATATTGCTTCAAATTAATGAATTTCTTGCTTGGTCCAATTGTCCGCACCTAAGGCGATGTGCCAGTGTACCTCATGCTGTAGTTGGGAGAAAATCATTTAACTGTCAACCCACATGGAGATAAGCAAGTTTCAGAGGAACATATGTAGTCAAATGCTTTCTGCGGCTCAATATGTTGGAAAGTTAAAAAGTAAAGACGTCAATGCTGCCAGGAAAAAATGACAAGCAGCTTCACCTCTGACAAGAGATATACTGTATGCACGCTGTGGGAAATATGGACCAGACAGCATTCGAAATCATATCACTTGCCAAACATCAAAAGGCCTAGCCTTGAACATGCAGCAAATATCACTTTTAATGTCAACAGTGACATAATAACATATCCTTCAACCAAATGTTGAGAATCAACATTGCACTTTTGGGTTTTCATCCAAAAGAAAACAAAAAGAGTACATAAACAGGCAGAACGAGAACATATCTGGAATACTTTTAGCATAAGACTCAATGGACAAACTTACCAAGTACTTTATCGTACGAAGAGAAAACCCTTTAGTATGGCAAGATGATCCAGTAGCCGACCAGGTGTTGCCACCTACATCAGACAGCATCCAAATGAGCACTCAAACAAATGTCATAGATTAAGCATATTAAAAATCTGTAACAACATACAATAGCTTTAGTAAATCTAGTGTAACAAGTCGTCCACATGGCTTACTAAACTTTTGCTGACAAGGCAACAGAATAGATGTTTGCATGTTGAAAATAAGCCAGCAACAAAATTGACGAGTACAGTTAGAAGTTTTCTTTGTTAGGTACGCAAGAATTGTATTAGTAAGTTGCATCAAGATGATGCATAATGATACATCAGGAACCTTACAAAAACACAGTCTCTGACTGCACAAACATGTCCGTTGATTGGAGAAATCAAGTAAACTATCAATATCATGTACATTTTTTAACTTGAACTAAAATATTAACAGAAAAGGTTGTTGCAATTTGTAAATATTCTTCTTTTTTGTTCAAAAAAGGATCTGATTTCTTTCCTTCCAAATAGTCCACCAGATACAAGTGGGGATGGCTGCTCATCTCAGTATGCTTAATAGTTGATATTATATTATTTCCACTCACTTAATAGTTGACAATCTATTACATCCACTAAAGAGTTCTATAACATGAACTTTTGGTTAGATTTGAGCCTCTCATAAGGAAAAAGGTCACTGGTCTTACAATCCTAGGATGTGGCGTGGTGCTAAATGAACATTGTTTAAACTGAACAAAAAGCTTTGCCAAAGCAAGGCCAATGGTACACCAGTTTTGGTTTTGCTTAGATTGCTAAAAGAATTCATCATCAAACTTTTACAACCATCAAGTACCTCTTACAAAAGAGGTATGGATAGTAATCATTCATGAAGGACTTCTATATAAGCCAAGGCATTTTGCAAAGTCAACACATAAGCACATTTCCTATCAAATAATCTAAGAAGAAAAAGCAGCTAACATCCAGTAAATGCCTGGATAGCAGGATTAGGAGCCCTTCTCGCAAAACATAGGCAACAACTTTAACAAAAAGCTGAGAAGAGAATGCATTTTCAAACAAGTGGGGCAAGGTGATCGACTTCTTTTGGATAGGTAGGTAACTAACTATTTGACATCTAGTCTGAAATATTTTATACAGCTAAAAAAACAGATGACCCCCTAAATTATTTAAAGGAGACATCATAAGCTTATGAAGCTAACTGCACAGTTCAAATAATGGCATGAGGCTACAGTGACCTGACATGCTTAGTTAAGGCTGGGATAGGTATATTGAAGCAACAGCATCAGAGGTAAACTGCAGCCGGTACTCCTCTGTTTGTCCCCTAAACGTGCATTTCCATATAAATATTGCAACACCAACTCGTTTTTTTAAGGCCATTTTACTCCAACACCGGATCCTAAAGCTTCAAATTGTTCAGCAATTTGAATCGCGAGCTCTCTGGAATACACAAAGAAAAACGTTTGAGATTAAATCACCAAAGAGCTTCTACAAAATAAGATAAGTAATCAGACGAATAAGGGACCTCGTTGGAGAGAGAACGCAGGCAAAAAAGGTATGCAGAGAATCTAATAGGACTTGCAGTATAGGAATTGCAAAAGCTCCAGTCTTCCCAGAACCCGTTTGAGCCAGACCAGTTAAGTCTTTGCCTAGAATAAAACCCAATCAAACAGTTTATAAGAATAAATACTTTCACCAAATAGAGGATGATATACAAAAGGTTCAAATAATAAAAAAGGATNCTCTTAGTTTATTAGCAGCAATCTCATTATTTGCACTCTCAAAATGTCATGAAAAAACCTTCAAAGGCATGAGGAATAGTTTCAGCTTGTATTTTAGAAGGAGTTTTCCAACCCAAATTATCACAAGCCTCAATCAGTTGATCAGAAACTCCCAATTCTTTGATAGACTTCGCTTCCTCTTTGGATTCTTTCATTTAGCTGTTCTCCACAGTGGATTCTATTAAGACAGTAACTTTAAATCAACAAACTGAATCATGTTACTGAAAAGGGACTTAAAGCAAACCGAAAAGTAATCTTTCTCCCAATTTCTTTCTTTTTATTCTAGTCCATTTAATAATCCTCTTTATTTTCCAAAGACAAATAAACATTCTCTCACAAAAATCGACTCTGTATATTTCCCTTCAACTTTTCAATACTCAAAGCAGCAAATTTATTGGGAAGATTTAAAAAATGACGTATGAAGCGAAATATATTCAATATTAACTTATTGATGAAGTTTGTAACTCTCATACTTTATCAAATCCATCTATGATTATCAAATAGCTCATTCAAAGGCATTTACAATCCATTGTAAAGTTACTTTTTTTTATTTGAGAAAAAAAAATAATCCAATGTGTAGTCACCTAAGATAAGAAAGACGAATTGTACCATTTAAAGGACAAAATTTATCTCGTGTATAACTCAATAACATATTAACAAATAACAATTCACTGCAAGTCTTCATTAATCACATCCATAAACATCACGAAAAGAAAGGAAAATTAAAGCAGAAAAGGAGAAGAAGATACCTCGAAGGACGTCTAAGTACGGAATGGAGGCGGCAGTGGTGTTTTTCAATTTGTGTACTCCAACTAGAAGTTGCCCTATTTACTTTTAATTTTGCCCTTTGAAGTTGTAGGAAAGAAAATAAAAAAAAATAGAAATAGATTCAGATTTGGGTTCGAACAATAGCAAATGGACTATATATTTTCCTTTCAAAATATAGAGTAATAATTTTGGTGTTAACGAGAGTGTCAATAGATATTTAAAAATTAACTAAATCGTACCCTATTGAATTGATTTTTAGGTTTTTTTTTAATAAAAGTATATATTTTTTATATAAATTTATAATTGTACCGTTAATTAGGTTGAGTTTTATTTGGGAAAATGCATAAGTAACTCCTGACCTATACCCGGATTTTCAGCTACACACTTTATCTTTGCGAGAATCCTACTACCCCCTTAACTTTTTTTAAATGGAATAAATACCACCCTAAAACTAGACAACCAAACTCTTGGCAAGTGGTGAACTACACGCGCTGCCACATGTATATTTAGTACTTTTTTTATTCTTTCTTCTTTTTCTTATCCTTTTTTCTTATTTATTATTATTCTCATTTTTTTGTTATTTTATTCTCTTTCTTTTTGTTTTGGTCACCGATGGCATAAAATGGTGGTCGTCGGAATTTCAAGGACTCCATTTTTTCCGGCGAAATATTTTTTTCCGACGACAGATTTTTGTCTCGATCTAAGTGTGTTTTGTTTTATATATATAAAAAATAATTCTTGAAAGTGTAATTTATGTGTGTGAGTGTCACGACCCAAAATTCAACTAGTTGTGATGGCACCTAACCCAACCCGCTAGGTAAGCCAACTTTTAATTATCCAATTTCAATAATAATTATTAAAGCAATTTAAGTGAATAATGATCTTAATCTTATACAATCTCCAAGAACTGGTAGTACAAATCATGAGCTTCTATGAATAGAGTACACAAAGCGAAAATGAAATAAATACATAGTCTGTTTGAATAATACATAAACAGAGCTTTTATAAATCTAAGGCTACCCTGAACTGGCAGCTACAACAGGAACGCAGGTACATCTTCAAGTCCCCCAACCATCAAACAGAGCAACAACAACAGCCAACATCTGTATGCAATATGCAGAAGTGTAGTATCAGTACAACCGGCCCTATGTACTGAGTAAGTAACAAACCTAGTTGTAGGTTGAAAGTAGTGACGAGCTTCTACCAAGGTCGGGTCTAAAACCAATAGTCCACAATAGTCTATAACAACATAAAGCAAATAATACCAGAAGTAACTCAGAGATAAAATGCTCCACAAAATCATGATTTCAAATAATAGTTCTTCCTTTCAAGTACATCAGTAAAAACCCAAATCGTTTGGCGAAATTGCCAAAAATATGAATAGTTTGAAAACAATAAATTTCTCCTAAATCTTTTCAATAATAAATAAGATGTTTTATTTTCCTTCCGGATAACTCGTGTAAAATAAATGCATCACTATGCCCATCTGTCAAAAATATGTGAGAAATCATGAATGATGTGATGTTGTACAGCATGAGAAAAATACATCTCTATGCATGTATGTCATGTGTGCATGCCAATGCGATGCAACTCAGTGATAAAATCATAAACAGCCCCAAGGGTAGAACATCACTCATATACCGCCCCTCGGGCAAACCTCACAGTCACTCATGCCACTCGGGAAAACCTCACAGTCACTCATGCCACTCGAGCATACCTCACAATCACAACTCACGTGCTGCATAGATAACTCACGTGCCATAATAAGCCAATAAGGCCTGCTGCAGGCGGGCAGCCCCTATCCATATAATAGTAATAATATATATAAAACCAACATGGCATGCTACGACGTACAGACCGATCCCAAAAATATCCTCACAATCAGGCCCTCGGCCTCCCTCAGTCATCAATCTCTCCAGTCTCTCTCTCTCTCATGGGCTCAAAATGTCATGAGAATAGCCCAAAAATGATGATATGATGTATCAATGAATAACAATAGAGACTGAGTGTGATGACCCAAAGGGTCATCTTGTGAATTAAGACTCTATTCCGAGCTTGTTAGCCTTAAAAACCTTATTTTTACTCACCTCAATTTGCGTGCGCAATCTGGGCATAAATCCGGAAAGCCTTTATGTGGAAATTTATGAAGTAATAAATTTTGGGATTTAATATTGAGTTTTAGTTGACTATGGTCAATGTTTTGAGTAAATGAACCCGGATCCATATTTCGACGATCCCGGAAGGTCTGTAGTAAAATATGGGACTTGGGCGTATGTCCGGAATCGAATTCCGAGGTCCCTAGCTCGAGAAATGCATTTTTGATGAAAATTGTAAGACTGAAATTCTATGGATTTAAAGAAATTGATTAATGTTTGATCTCGTTGATATCGGGCCCGTATTTTAGTTCCGGAGCCCGGTACAGGTTTAATATAATATATAAGTCATGTTTGTGAAATTTGGTAGAAATCGGAGTTGGTTTGACGTGATTCGGACGTCCAATTGAGAAGATAGTAGTTTTGATATGTTCTTGAGGAATTCATGAGTTTTGGTGATAAATCCATAGTTTTAGGTGTTATTTTTGTGATTTGATCGCACGAGCAAGTTCGTATGATATTTTTAGACTTGCGTACATGTTTGGCTTGGAGCCCCGAGGGCTAGGGTGAGTTTCGGGTAGGCTATAGAGTGATTTTGGAACTTAAAAATTTGCTGGTGTAACTGGTGTCTGTAGCAGGCCTCTGATCTCACAATTGCGAGATCAGGCTTCGCAAATGCGAACCAAGCAGGTATGGTAATTGCGAGGTTTTTATCACAATTGCGAAGAAAGCCTAGGCCAGCAGTTCTCGCAATTGCGAAGGAGGCCTGGGAAAGGGCATGTTCGCAAATGCGAACTTCTACCCGCAATTGTGATGGGCCAATGTATATATCTAATCATAAAGTTGATTCCTTTAGCGATAATTGATGATATTAAACTAATTATGATTAGATACGAGTGGGTTGGAGGTGAATTCTAAAGGGAAAGCGGTACTTGAGCAGTGAGTGGCATGCAAAATTGAGGTAAGTGTTGTGTCTAAATTGATGTCGTGCATGATTTTTTTATATTGTGAGGAAGAGTGTAAAGCACGAAGGGTGATGCCGTGCGTGATTTATTTATATGGTGAGTAAGAGTATAAAGCACGAAGGATGATGTCGTGCATGAATTATTTATATTGTGAGGAAGAGTGTAAAGCACGAAGGGTGATGCCGTGTAGTCTTATTTATTATTTGGTGAGGTTGAGAGTAAAAGCACGAAGGGTGATGCCGTGCAGTATTCCTTGCTATTTTAATTGCTCAATTCGTTTACGGATTTTCGGTTTAATTCTGTCTTTTTATTATTCTCACTCTTTATGTTGTATTCCCCAACTGCATGTTCCCCTGCCATTATTTCTGCGTTATTACTTTATTTACTATTGTTGCCACTAGCATGATTATACTATTCAGGTTATATGTGGGTGTCTTGTCCTATCCTCGTCACTACTTCGCCGAGGTTAGGCTTGACACTTACCAGTACATGGGGTCGGTTGTACTGATGCTGCACTCTGTACTTTCTGTGCAGACTTTGATACCGGTTTGGGTTGATCGAGATTTTGCTATTCGTCCGTTGTCCGGAGACTCAAGGTAGATATGTTGGCATTCACATACCATGAAGTCCCTGCCTATCTTTTCTGTTCTACTGTTTCTTTCATTCAGACAGTTGTATTTCTTTCAGATTATTACTTGTAGTAAATTCTAGAATGCTCGTGAATTGTGACTCCAGATCCAGGTGGTAGTAATTAATACAATTTTATGATATCCCGCACTTATTATATTTCATCTTAGTTAATTATTGTTAATTACTGAATAGAAATAAGGAATTGGTTAATGATTCTCTAACGTTGGCTTGCCTAGCAAGTGAAATGTTAGGCGCCATCACGGTCCCGTCGGTGGGAAATTTTGGGTCGTGACACTGAGATGTGATATGTAATGTAATGAATATGAGTGAGTATGAATTTTCAATTTAAAACAAATAATTCACAACAATATGACCTCTGCGGGTCCAAAAATACTGGCACATAGCCTCAATATAATTTTTAATATGTTTTTCAGCCCAATTTCTTTAACACATAAAACCGCATGGAAAATGCCAAGATTATTTAACTTCAAAATTTCACATAAACAATTATGTCACAATTTCTATAGTGCACGCTCACACGCCCATCACCTAGCATGTGCGTCAACTCCCAACAAATTCACGAAATACATATATTCGGGGTTCATACCCTCAACCCCAAGATTAGAAGAGTTACTTATCTCGAACATGCCAAATCCAATGCCGAGCAAGCTAAACAATGCTCCAGAAGTTCCATTATGCGCGTATCAACTTCCAAACGGCTCGAATCTAGTCACAATTAATTTGATTCACTCCACACAATTTATAGGAATTAATTCCATATCAAAATGCTAATATTTTTCACAAAATCCGAAATTTCGCCCTAAATATCACCCGTGGGGCTCACGTCTCGGAATTCGAAGAAACTCACAAAATACAACAACCCATCCAATTACAATCTTAACCATACTAATTTCACTATATTCCGACTCCGAATCAATATTCAAACTTGAAAAATTCATTTTGTGACATTATAGAAATTTCCTTCTATTTCTCTTGAAGATTCAATAATCTTACACCAAAAATGAAGATTAATTCATAAAATATAACTACAAGGGAATTAAGAATACTTACCCCAAGTTATGTGGAAAACTTCCTCTCCAAAATCGCCCAAACCGTGCTCCAAAATTCGAAAATGGGTGAAAATGTCGAACCCTCGAACTTAAAGGATTCTGCCTAGTCGAAGATTTGCGCACCTGCGCCTCCGCTTGTGCGAGCAAAATGTCGCATTTGGTGACTTCACTCTCCTGCCCAGTTTCCGCTTCTGCGCACGTTCGTCCGCATATGCGCTCACGCACGTGCGGAAATTTCCCACGCACCCGCAACCAATGCCTCACAGCCCTCTGCCCGCATCTGCGCTCCTTCTCTCGCAAGTTCGATTCTGTAACTGCGAAGCTCCTTCCGCACCTGCGCACC